CTGTTTCATTGAAACTAAGTGATTTGTTCATTTCTATTGTCTCTTAATACCTAATATTCTATAATAATAGAAAGTATTTCATATATGTGCACTTAGTAAACAAGAGATCTTGGTTAAAATGCTGGAGACTATAGTCCAGAGAACTGTTGGTACATGGATTTATTTATTATAGCTAGATGTTCTCAGAGGATCTTAACCCAGGCATAGCACCTATTTGGAAGAAGTTATTAGTTACTCTGCAGAAGTACTTGGTAAATGATGAAGATGGATTTACTTTTTATGTAAAAATTTGCCCCAAGAATGAATCTGATAAACACTGAAATTCCTGCTTCATAGTCAGTAAGAACTTAATTTTTACTAGACAAGAAAGAGCCCATGAAAACTTGACACCAGGCACGCTACAAATGCCAACACCCCAACTTAATAAAATTGAGCAACTCTGATAAGTATTCTCTAAGGCATGGTGAGAAAAGATTTAATGGGTAGCAGAAGGGATCAGAGTAACCAGAGATTTTTTCTTTTGGCTTTTTATTTTTTTTATTTGTTACTTTTACTTTGCTAAAGAGTTTAGGGCATTAGGGTGTGTGGACCATGTGATGTGACCCTTGAGTGGTTGGATAAAAGGACAACTTTAACTAAAGGATGGTTGGCTTTTAGTTGGTATCCATGAATTTGATATAAAGGAATTGTCATGCTCTTATCATAAAGAGGAGTTAGTGCAGTAGGGCACTCCCATCTTTTGCTCTTCCTTGATTGGCTCACGTGGGGAACTTAGTGTCAATGGTCATTCTCCATTATGGATGGTGCCAATGCTGCTTTACAATGAGCCACACCGTAGAAATATATATTAGAAAAAAAAAAGGAAAAGCAACCCAACAATAAAGAGGAGAAGAATACATATTTTTTTAGGGTATGGGCATGCTGACATGCTGCCAAGTGGCAATGCCCCCCTCTTGATGGGGTGGTTCAAGCTGCCGGCACTGCCATGTGGAAGAACAGGGATGATGATGTTGATGCAACAAGCAGCTTTGAGGTGCAACATCTGTCTTCACAAAGGGCAATTTTGTCAATAAACTTGGGAGGAGTAACTTCATTTTTTTACCCATGCATGATGAGGATAAGAATAGAGATGGTTGACCCATTGCCCTAATTGAGAAATTACTGAAAAGGGTACCGACTACTAAGAGATGACTTCCATTAAAAAAAGGAAGAAGTAAAAGGGAAAAAAAATATATATTTTATAGCTTTTAAAAGGTTCCTTAGGTGGCTAGCAGAGTTTGTCCTACAAGGCCAAATGTATTGGACAAGAATAGTTTAGTTTCATAGTTTATAATATAAATATAAATTAGATCCATGTATAAAAAGCCTTAGCCAAAAGACAAATATACCCTCATTTATTAAGAAGGATGCACTAGGGTATCATAGCTTCTGTGCCCATCAACGTAGGGTATTCTAGCTTCTGACAATTGTTCATTCTGTCTATTTATGAAGGGCATGTTCAAATTCTCCCTCATTGTCGGTAGGCTTGTGATCCATGTGGTTTTGGATTAGTAGCTTAAACATACTTCGACAATATTTTTAGATAATGGTTGATGTTCTCATCTAAAAGCACAAGCATCAAGGATTTCTCTAGCCAAACTGCGAAAGCAAAAGAAATCTGAATACAATAAGGCCGTGTTTGGTTGCAGTGCAATTTTTTTTGTATCAGTATAAATGCACAGTAGTGCAAATGAAAAAAATGTAAATTTTTGTTTAATTTTGTTTTGGGTTTTACTTCATTCTGCTGTATGTCTTAATTTGCTTAAACAAAATAAGCTACAATTTGAAATAAGAATAGTTTAGAATTTACACTGTCACAGTTTTGCATCGGTGCAAATTTATTTGCATTACAATCAAACACAGCCTAAATAAAAGTAATATGATTTATTACCTTCTTGATTGGGGATATCATCTTATCCCTTGAAATAAAATTTACCCTGTTTTAGTTGGATTTTTGAAATAATCCCTATGAATTAGAAGACAGAATAGAATAAATATTTCTGTTAATGAGCATATTACGAATTAAATAATATAATTCTAGTAAACATCATAGATTTTTTACTTCTCTCACCATGTGAATAGGTGCAAGCTAGTTTAGTCATCCATCAATTTCAGTACATTATAAAGAGTAATTTATTGTTTGTTAATATGTGCCAAGTATCAAGGTTTTACTCTTATGAGCTATCTCATAAGGCATTTGATAGAGAGCGAATTGAGAAATAATAAAAAAAAATGTAAGAATTGTGAAGTTATTTTCTAACATTAACATCATAATAATCTCAGCCTTATCTCAATTATATGTGATCAACTATATGAATCCTATTTTATCTTCCTTTTTTTTTTGTTTAGTGTAAATACAAATAAATTCAGAGTACATCTTTTATTTATATATATGTTTTGACTTAAGGGAAACATAATACGTCTCCGTGGAGGTAAAATGAATATTATATTGGTAAATAAAAGTATGTGATTGACATGATTAAATGCACTTCTTTTATAAAATTCTATATCCTAAAAACTTATTTCTTTTTAATGGAGAGAGACCGGCCCCCATTAAATACTAATTGCTCAGCTCAACTTGTACACTAGAATGTATTCATTAAGAAGATCTAGGTTGTGTTTCATACAATCGTTGTTCCTATCTGAAAAGTTTTTGTGTTAATCGATGCAATTTTATGAGAGATATTTTTCTATTTGAAATGCTTCTGAATTGACCGGTACAGATCGTTGTTTCTATCTTCAAACATAAATATCAACATCAGTCCCAAACATGCATTTATTAACTCTCATGTGTGATGTGATAACACATGTTTTTCACCAATTTGTATTGATCAGCCCAAATTGTTGTTATACGAAGCAAAAAATAGATGACCATTTGCCTCTAACAGACACAAATTTCAACAAGAGTTCCTCATAACAAACAAATCCTATTTAGAGATCAACAAGCTTAGTATGACAATACTTGGCAACTGAAAATGATGGCGAGAGATATTCCCTCCATTGGCATAATTTTAGGGTCATTTGATTCATAAATGAAATTAGAATTGAAAATAGAATCCTTTGGAATTGGAATCAAAATGGTCTATTTCCATAGTTTGTTTGATCTTGAGAAGAATAGAAATGAAAATTGACATCAACAATAATGAGATTTCATTCCCAAGAAAGGAATAAGTAATGCCTATTCCTCATTCAAATAAGACTCCAATTCTTCACAACCGGCCTTTGTTTCTACATCCCGCTTCTTTACAATGCGTTTTGTGAGTCGGCCATTCTCAAAACATCGATCCGATAAAGTCACAATGCTTGATTTGGGATCCTAATCAGCAATGAAAAATCTCAAATCAAATCAGTCTTAATGGGTTGGTCATATGGACCCTGACCCATCATTGTGTTCCGTTAAGAACCATATTTCCTTTCAAATTGTATATCCTCATTTGTCATGTGAAAATGGGTGAGAATAAGATATAATCTCGTGATTAGATAGATCAATATCATTTTGTTTGATAATTAATAATAAAAAGATAGTATTGATTTCCTTTCTCACTCTCTCACACTGAGTATAAGGCCTAGACTCCATAACATAACTCGTCCATGAGACCATGACCCGGTAGCTGAAATGGTCACTTGCAATCACTCCCGAAGCCGAAATAGAGGTAGGATCGACCCCACATAACTGTATGACTAGTGGGCCTCACGTGTATCCTGCACTGCCCCCACCTCAGTCCCGAGAGAAAGAGGTTTTGATTTTGTGCCTCCGATTCCCATTTTGTCTCCTAGCTCTGCTGGTTCCTTAATGGAGAAGATAGGATTTCTTAGTGGTTACTCAAGTCAGAAGCTAGGGGCTCGCTTTGGTCATGGGAATTCAACTCTTTTTTGACATCTTTATCTGCTGTTTTTTTTTTCTTTTTTTTAGATTTTTGCCTAAGACTCATATTTTATCTGCTGCTATTCTTTGGTCAAGATTAGAGTTAGAGCCCGAGGTAAACCTGTCTGCTATTAACTAATTAATTGACCTACATTACAATTTACAGAATCTTTTACTTGGAAAGATGCGATTCATTCTAAACTAAACAAATTCAGTTTGCAAGAGTTTATTTTGACTTTCAAAGAGTAGGTAAACCATTCCTATTCTCTCTCAACCCCTCTACCCGTTTCTTTATTCTTAGGGTCTGTATACAATTGGTGTTTTGACTCTATATGTTATAAACTGATAATACATGAATTTGCCAGCTGGAAGCCTTGTCCATATGGGCAGTTATTGAGTCACCTATTGTTTGATGTGCCCATGTTCTGACCACCTGTAAAATTTGAGTCATTATTCAAAACATGAAGTCTTGGTTTGCCACGTGGATACCTTTTTTAGTTTTAGCCACGTAGGACGACGGGGGTTGAGGACACACTCTCATCTTTCTTTCCCCTACAGAAGCAATATCTAGCAGTTGCTAAGTATTATTTTTAATTTCTGGCTTCTGGGTAGATCCCACAGTTTCAGGTCTTAAGTCCACATTGAATGCTGATGATCCTCCGTTTTGTCTGTCTTCTCTTGCCGCAGTTTTATGGACTTATGGGACTCCAACTGATATGCAGCCCCACGGCTCATTTTAGTAGAAGCTGTCTCACATGATGTGTGATGGGCTATCCGACGGGTCGGATCGAAGGGGGATCTGATGCTGTGTAATGTAGTAGGACAAAATGTTTGGGAACAACTCAACTCTTCAGAACTTGTTAGACTTTGACTGGACAATAAACGAGGGGCCAGCCGTCCAGGAAACCAACACAACGTGCTGGGCCCGCTGACAAATTTAGCATGGATCTCCATGGAACGGATCTCTATGCAGATTAGGATCTGATGGTTCAGATTTCGAACGCATGGTTGGTTCTTTAGGGTGCTGTCGTGCTCCTGCAACAGCGGGGTGAACAGATGGTGTTGCATGTAATTTATTCACCTCTCTCTNCCCTCTCTCTCTCCCCACTTCAGTCCCCCCCCTCTCGCTCTCGGTAAAAAGCTACAAAAAGGCCACGACAAAGCTTTTTCATGGGGGTTGTGGAAATCATGTCGACTTCTCTCTCACTGTCTTTGTTATATCCTCATCCCACAAGGCCATAACGTCACTGTGACCCTGGTAAGCACACGGCTCTTGAAGCGTTTCTCCTTGCTATTTTAGTGTATCTGATTTTTATTTTCTGTTCTGCTCCAGAGGTCAAGGAGAATTTTATCTTGTTTTCCAAGTTTGAAAGAGAAGTAAGATATGCAACTAATTGATTTTCTTTTTTCCTTTTTTTTAGAGATTTCTGCAGCTTTAATGATGATTTGTTATCTGATTTCTCTTCCCTTTTAATAGGTTTTTCTTTTGATTTTTCTCTCTGTTCCTCTGGGTTGTCAGAAATTGAAAGTTCCAACTGGTTTTGAGCTGCACAGTCGAGGTGGGTATTTTTTATCGTTTGTCTGCAACCGTGATGTTTCACCCTTTATGGAGTATTGAAGTTTCTGGTCCTGTGGACACCCTTTAATGGGTTTTCATTTCTTCTGTCATTCCGCTCTGTGTGTTCTCAGACATTAAATTTGGAACTGGATTTTGGGTAAAAGTGCAAGAGGAAGAGATGCTTTTCTTCCTTGAATTGTGGTCGACTTTTACGTGAACTCTGTAGCTTCTGATTCTGTTCCAACTAATGGAGTCTTGGAGCTATGGTTCTGAAGGGAAGGGTTTTGTATTGTCTGATGAAGTGATTTCTCCTACTGACGCTCTTGCAAGAAGTAGAAAAGTGTTCACGGGTTGGGACTTGAAACCCTCCTATAATTACGAAAGCACCATGTTAGCTCAGAGTCGAGCGGCCGTCGAGAACCAGGGATTCATGGAATTGGGTTTCCCTGCAGCCATCAAGAAGCCACTTCCTGACAACCAAATTGGCGGGTTTCTGGGAGGTAGGACCAATAGTGAAAGAGAGCCTTCTCCTTCTTGTGTGGTTACTCCGAAAGCATTATTCGGAGAAGAGGAGCCATGTTCAAGGCTTTCAAGCTCTATCATGGAATCTAATACCCGGGACTCCTCACTTATCGATTTGAAGTTGGGGAGGTTGGCTGACTATAGAGATGCACAGAATGGCGAATCCTCCAAAGAAAAGCCGATTCTGTCCACAGTGAGATCAGCTGTACCTGCAAAAAGAGCTCGCACGACGAGTTTGAATTCTCAGACTCCCTTTTGCCAAGTTCATGGTTGTGAAATGGATCTCAGTTCCTCAAAGGACTACCACAAGAGGCACAAAGTTTGCGAGGCTCACTCTAAAACTGCCAAAGTTATCGTGAATGGAGTTGAACAGAGGTTCTGTCAACAGTGTAGTAGGTTGGTCTTCTTCCCTCTGCACTTCATTTTGAAGTAGCCTTATTTTTTTCTTGGTTCATTTTGAAGTGACTTTCAGTGAAATGTATTTGCTATTTACCTCCGGTATATGGCATTCCTCAGATCGGGCTCTTTTAACTAGTTTCCATTCTCTTTCTCTTTGGATGTTTTTCTTTTTCACTTTTTTTTTTCCCTAGGGTGGGGGTGATCTAATCACTTCACTTCCAAATTTTGATAACGAATTTTGCAGAAATCAGTTACTATCAGAACATCAATTCTTTTGGGGTGAAAAAAGTTGAACCTCTCCAACCATGTAATACGGTGGCACAATCTACTTTTTTTTTTTGTTTTCTAAAATTTTATAATTTATTTTGTTTCTCTTGCTGCATTTGGTTTCATAAAACATGGTATGCAGTAAGGGTACTGCTAAGTTAAATTGCCAGGAACAGACATCGGGTCTTTTTAAAACCCTCCAGGGACTCTTAGAATTCTTTGTTGTTTGTCAAAGCTCAAATAGAAATAGAGGGATTTACTGATCAGAAAGAAAAAAGATATATATCATTTCAGGTTATATATATATATATAAAATTTGGTTGCATTAAACATTACATTACACCCAGAGGAGATCCAATTTAATTTGCCAATCTCATAAGTGACAATATCATTTCAGGTTATAATCCAATACTTGTGGGGGTTGTTTCTTGGTCCTTCACTCTCTTCTTTCAGTTGTGATCTTGTTGGTTGGAGCCCAATCTGTCAAATTAGTTCGATTCTTATTAACAGCATAACATAAAACTTTTTCTTTTAGAAAAACATACCTTTAATGCAGAAAATCTTATTGTTACCCAGGTTTCATTTGCTTTCTGAGTTCGATGACGGTAAACGCAGTTGTCGGAAACGCCTTGCAGGCCACAATGAACGTCGCAGGAAGCCTCAACTGGGTAGTCAATCTGGTAAATGTGGTAAATTTCTACTTTCTACCAAAATAAGCATTTGGATAAAACAAAAAACTATGAGCTCAAAAAGTACTTAAAAACATACAAATCATGACTAGGAACATCCCTGAAGAGTGCATGGGTTGTGAACCAGGACCAAAGGGTATCGGCTGTAATGTTGATGATTGCTTCCACTGTTTTTTTTCCCCACTCAAAAATACAATGGTTTCTGTCAAGCCATATTGACCATATGACTGCCAGGGGGATGGAGTTCCATCGCACCTTGTAATCTCTCATTCTAATTACATAAAATAGTTATTTGATTATCTTACTTCTGTGCCATTATTACAATATTATGTTTGTCTACTGAAAGTATGGTAGCTGCCATTTAATATGGTATGAAAAAAAATGATTCTATTAACTTTGATGTACATATTGTAGTTGTACTGAACTTTAAAGGAGCAGAATTTCTCTGACATCTATGTCCTTTTCCGACTCTTGAAGAGATAGATTTGCAAATGGAGATCACATCTGCGCCCCACAAACACCCCACATGCACATCTCAGCGTGCATGGGGAACATCTCCCTAAGTTGTCAGTGGGAGATGTTCCCAATATACGGTTGGGATATGCTGTGGGGCGCAGATGTGAATTCTTGCAAATGGGATCTCTGGTGAAAGGAGACTCTGCATTGGCGGGAGCCTCATGCACTGGGCTGTCCATCTTCTTTTTTTATTATTGAAAAGATATTGTTATTATTACTTTTTGGTCAAGTTTACTGTTGATTTTTCTTATCTTCCGATGCAAAGATAGTTTGTACATTATGGTTCTCTTTATGAGCATTTTTGAAGTCTATCAAAAACATGCAGTTATTTAGCTAGTAATTTGTCCATGTATTAAGAATCCCATGCGATAGGTTCCAGGGCTATAATTCAAGTGTATTAGATGGTTTGACCATGTGTATAAATAACCAATAACAGCACCGGCAAGGGGTGACTTGGTGCAAGTAGAAGGCTCTAAAAGAGAAAGGGTAGACCAATGAAAATGGGTGCTGAAGTGGTAAGAAATGAACCAAGAGCTTACAACTTGACATAAAACATGACTGATGATGGCAGGAAAGGATTCATGTAAGCAACCCCAGATGGTTGGGATTAAAGCCAAGTTGAGTTGAGGTCAAATATATTGGATGTTCTTTTGGGATGAGTTTGTTGAAATCTTTGGCTCATGATGATGGACTTGGCAGGCATCTGTTTTCTATAAGTTGTAGTTAGTACTTATTGAAACTGTTAATATTTTCAGTAACTGTTATGATGCTCCTCTGGCTGCAATGGATTTTTTGCTTCTTTTATAAATTCTCCTAAGGAAAAAATAACATGTCAAGCATCTAATTAACAATCTCATAGTTGCAAAACAGAGCTTCATCTCTTTGTACTGATTAAGCCTTCCATACACATTTGTCTTAAATAAGGATATATAATCACTGATGACCGAAGATGTACTAAACTTATCTGATGATTTTGGAGACCAATCTTGTAAGGTCGCATATGGTTTCTTGATACTTGAGAACAACAGGAAATTAGGCAGAAAAACTCCTTGCTTCTTGGTCAAAATGTATACGGTCTCCATGCAGTTCATGGATATAGGTCTATATCAGTAGGACAAACTAGTTTTCTAGGGTTTGACATGGTTAGGGCTTTTGAGGTTTTGAGCAAATTTTAGTTTTATTGGCTTTTAAATATGTCAGAGAATAGTGAATAAAGGGGTAGATGTTATTAGGAGCATAAAGAGTTTTAATAGGAAGACTATAATATAGTATCTACAGGGATGAGAATAAAAATAAACTGGATTCTGAGTCAGATGGATGGGAATGGGTTTCAAGTTTGGGAGTCCTAGTCAAAGCAGAAAAATCAGGACCTAAATTACGACAATAAGGGTTACAACTTAAGAGGATCCTATAGTTTCTAATTGTCCATTGGTGCAGATTTTGGTGGCCAAAATGACTTAAGAGGTATGACTCTGCTAAGAGTCTCAAAGTTGAGGGTTTATAGGTTATATGTGGGTTCATTTTTGGGTACTTGATCTTTAAGCAACAAGGATGATTAACATTTGAGAAGTTGGTCTTGGATTGATTTGATTACTTTGAGTATCTAAATGTATTGTACCAAAAGGTTGATAAAACCCATAAGGAAAAACAACGGTAAGTTAAAGTAATAGATTATTAGATAACAAAAAAGATTTAGAGTGGAAGAAGAACATGCCATTTCTAAAGAGCTAAGCTTAAGGTTTTAAGTCATGAAGGACCAACTACCCCATCTTTGAATCACAAATTAACAAAAATGCAACTTTTCAACTCCTCTTTTTAAGTGCAGATTTTGTGCTTCTCTTTTAAGGCTACATTTAGGAACCTTCTTAAAGTGAGAAGATCCAAAATCAAGTTTCAACTCCACTTAACCTCTCAATAATTCATTCATCTTCCAGGGTATCACATTCTCAAGGAAAAGGGTCTGGATCTGCTCCTCACACCGACCTCACAGCATGTTTCAGCCACACACCGGGAGCACCTACTGTACTTGTATATCATTATTCATGGGAGATGTTCCCAATACATGGTGCAATGTGGCTGTGAGGAGCAGATCTCAGTTCCAAGGAAAAGTATATTAGAATGAGAATTTAAATGTGTCAACCACTTCTGTCATGGAAAATTATATTACTTTCTTTTTTTTTTTGTGCAGGGGGGGGTTTAACCCTAATTCTTTGGTATTTGCTACTTGAATTGGGATTTTCGCCGTGTTTGAGTGAGATGTGGAAGACTGAAAAAGAAAGCAAAAATGAAATATGCAAAGGAAATAAGAGAAAAGCTTTTCTAAACAGTCAGGGGATAGTAGACTTGTATGGAATAGGAAATCTTTTGTATTCCCATTGTACGGCCTCTAGTTGTACAGGGATCTTTTTTTGTTAGTAACATGGTGAATTATCTAATAGAGAGAGAAGAAAAAAAAGTAAAGATGAAATATGAAATTAGAGAAAAGCTGCTAAAATACATGTAAAACATATTGAAATAGGTCACCTAGGTGGTTGTAACCAAAAACCTTCATGGTTTCAGCTCTTCTAGCATAAACTTACTCTAGCTTGATTAAGAGCAAGGTTCAAAGTATTGATACGTACCGGCCCGTATCGTCTAATACGTATTGTATCGGGAGCTTCCCGATATGCCCCTACATAGGGTGTTTCGGGGTTTTGACCGGTTCAGGGGGTGGATGGACCTTAAACCGGCTCCTCTGAACCGGATTTGAAAAAAAAAAAACAAAAATAGACTATTGATACAGCCCGATATGCCTCTACCGGCATATCAGGCGTATCGATATTTTGAACCTTGGTTAAGAGCATAAAAAGTCTACCACATTACCCAATGTTGGTCCCAACTATCTGGGGTCTTGGGAGGGGTAGACTAGGTACAGTCGTAACCTTTGTCAAATTTTCAATCACTCAGTGGTTGCCCCCAGACTTGAGCCCGTGTTCTCACCCTTGCCAGCCCAGGATTTTACTATTACACCAAGTAATTGCCCCCTTGTCCCCATTAGAGGCATATCAAGTGTATGTTACCAACATAACAAATCCCTCCTCCCTACCCCCACCACCAAAAAAATCCTACAAAGAAAAAAATAGTAAAATAAACAAGTAAACAAACAAATCAGTAAGGCATCACCAAAAAGATGGTTTGTGCTTTTAACATGTCATTTGGTCATCATGTAGCAATTTTCAATTTCTTCTGACCGGGCTTGGCATCTGGATATTACTGCCTCAAATTGTGCTTCCTGAAAATATGATTATGAAGTAATTTGCAAGATGTCTGTACCTGTAGTAATGTATTTAACATATTTTTAGAACAAAACTTTTTATTCCATCCTAATGTTGTGGTGGATCTACAGGTAGCAGGTTTCTGGGGACTCCATTATCAACAAAATCATCCTTTATCTTCCCAGATATATTTCCAAATGGCATGCTGCGCCCAGTGAAATACGAAAACAGTAATTGGTCTAGGAACATAAAATTAGAAGATGAAGCCGCATATAGCCCTCAGTCAGCACTACCCATCACAGATGGGAATTTGCACCAGAAATCTTTGCTCCCTCCATATTGCATGGAAAAACCATATCCTTCCTTGCATAGCAACAGAATTGATACAACACCACGAAGCATTTTTCAGGAGAATGGCAGTAGATATCCACATGATTTTGCAGGCTCAAATTCAGCCCCAAGATCATTGTTTAGGAATACCTCATCAGGAAGTGAAGACTTCACTGTTTTTGATACAGCTTCAACTATTCAAGGATTATCCAGGGTCTCAGACTCTGGTTGTGCTCTCTCTCTTCTGTCATCTCAATCACAGAACTCATCAACTCATTCATCAGGAATTCCCATGGCTCGTCCTCTGATTATCCAAGGAAGCCGTTCTCAATACAGTGTTGGCCAACTTCCTGAAAAATTTCTAGGAGTAACCTCACAGGCCTCAACAATTATAGCATCAACCAGGTTTTCTTCTTCTGAGATGAACTCTCTGGATGTTGATCAAATAGAGCCTGTTTTGGTCTCTGATCCAAGCAATGCTGTCAACTTTGAAGTCCGTACAGATGGAATTTTCCAAGGACCAGACTTTATGGTGGCCAAGGATTCTTTCTCTCATGGACATAGTTCTACTGTTGGTCTTCTTCAACTGTCATCACAGCTTCAACGTGTAGAGCATCAGAGGCATTCCCTGCAAGTGAAGCAGGAGAACGATGTCTTCTGCTGCCTTCCCATCAATTGAGAAATACGACAGCAACAAGGTATTATAACTTCCCCTTGAATGCTTCTAATTGTAACTTGAAATTGCACTGGGTGCAACTTGGGCTGGCCTTGATTGAGCATTTATTAAGATTTGAAGGGGCACATCATGAGAGGCCAGGTTCAATGCTCCATAAGTATTGCTTTTGTAATCTCATAACCATATGTGAATTTAGAAATGAAGTGTTTGGCCAAGTAGATTGGCATACTACCTAGATTTTAATTCTTTTACATTAGTGGGAATGGGGCTTGTGTAGCTAATGTTGGTGAGCTTTTACAAGTAGATTGACTTACTTTTCTGTCACTCTTTGAAGGTTTTCAAACTTTGATACACACACACAACAGAAGTGGAGTTATTGCTTTAATTGATTTCCATAGTTCTAAAACGTAAAAGATGCTAGACAATATTAATATGGCAAAATGTAGGTTTTTTTTTTGTTTGAATCAATAACAGAAACTTTTATTAAGAGGAATAGAAAAGAGAAAGTTACAACAGGGAGGGGTAAAATCACTTAACCCTCCCTAAAATTAGAAATCAAATTACAGCAATGCCCAAAAGAGATAGCTCTTCCCACCCCTTGTTTGGCCAAAGAATCTGCCATAGAATTAGCACTCCTCTTGGACCACTGAAAGTCCGAAACTGAATTTCCATGTTCTGAGTTAGCTGGTTAATTTTCTTTTTCTCATTTGAGAACTTCCACAGACTTAAGTCTTGCTTCTGCAGCCAACTAACAGGCAGCCTAGAGTCGCCTTCCACCAGCAGATTTTTAATATTCAGCTGCTGGGCTCTTTTAATGCCTTCCAAAACTGCTAAAATTTCAGCTCTCAGAGAATCCCCCCAACCTATAGGACCTGAAAACATTGCAATAATTTGACCTTCTTCTTCCCTGAACACTCCAACTATACCCGAAGGGCCTGGGTTTCCTTCGCTGCTGCCATCAAAGTTCAACTTAATGAACCCCATAGTTGGAGGAGTCCAAGCTAGAATAGGGGAAGTATTCAAGGGAGCAGACCAAGCCACTTCTTTCCAATTTCTAATGATATCTCTTGCTGAGTAACCTTCAAAGAGCTTCATAGTCTTGACCCAATGTACCACCGTCACAGAGATTAATTCAATTATGGCTTTCTTGTTTCTTTCTTTTTCGTTGAATGTTCTTAGATTTCTTTCCTCCCACACCGTCCAGCATATAGCTGCTCTTACACATCTCCACAAACTTTTACCTCTTTTTGAGTTAAACAAGCTTTGCACATTTGGAGAGGGGAGGGCCACATGCAACCAAAAAGAGAGAAAAACCAACACCTAGAGGTGTAAAACAGGTCATGCCGTGCCAGCCCGTGCAAAGTGTGGGTCGTGCCGTGCTAGCCTGTGGACCGTCTTGGGCCATGCCGCCCTCCCCTAGGATAACTTGGGGGTCGGCCCGGCATGGCCCATGGCCCAAGACCGTGCGGGTCTGTGGGCTGGGATGGCCTGTGGGTCATGCCTTGGGCCAGGTCGGGCCATGGGCCGGGTGAAAACTATATTTAAAAAAGTGAAAAAAAAAACTTAAAATTTTAATTTTATATGAATTTTGTGTATACAATTGCTTATATATACAATAATTAAATAAATTAGTATAATAAAATTGAAAATAATTATTTATTTTATTAATATATTATATACTATATTATTATATAATATAATATATTATATATATATATAAATATAAACATATTATATATATAATATATAAATAATATATATGGGTCGTGCTGGGCCGGGCAGGGCTGTGAACCTAAAACCCCAGGCCCAACACAGCCCACACGATTGTGCCGGGCCTGGCACGACCTGCTTGCCGTCGTGCCAGGCCAGTCCAAAGTCGGGTCAGGCCATGCCAGGCCACGGGCGGCACGACCCGATTTACACCTCTACCAACACCAGATTTCTGATACAAAAGGACAGGAAACTAATAAGTGAAAGCAGCTCTCACCATTCTTCTTATATAGGATGCACCAGTGCAGGGATAAACACCAATTAGGCCTTTTCTTTTGAAGTAAGTCACAAGTGTTACACTTTTTTAGGATAGCTTCCCAGCAGAAAGCACCTACCCTGGGAGGAATTGGTCTACCCCAAACTTCCAAGACTGTGAAAGGGAAAAATGTAGGTTTATCTGTTACATTGATTTCTTGCACAACTCGCCATTTACATGGACTGTTCTGAATCTGTCTTCTATATGTAGAACAGCTTGCTTGAATCATGATTCTTCCTTAAGATTAATGAAATTGCTGCTATCTGAAAAGAGTGCAGGTTGCTAAAGGATGTGGCAATTAAAGGAATGTTTCGTCTGATCCTTTGAACTAACATGGATGAACTACTCCTAAGCAGACAAGGAGAAACTCTATCTACCATTCTACTTTTGCACATACTGGTAACTGCTCTTCCACCTATGCTTGAAACACAACCAAGTAGCCATGCCTTTCCTAATCTGTGAATAACAAAAGCTACTTTTGGCTTTGGGACTTTGATCAATGTGTACAATCTCATCAATTTCTCAAAAACTAATTCTTTCAGTTCTCCAGAATTTCCATCTCTATTCTGCTTCAAGGGACCTAATTAAGTAAATTCCACAAAACAGGCAGTCAATCATTGATAAAACATATCCTTTTTAGTTTATTTTGGATTTACTTGCCTGCCTGGGAATTATACTCAATGAAATCAAAACTCAGGTAAAATATGGTTATCTATGCAAGGCCCTTTTTTTTTTTAATTTAAGAAGATTATGGAAAAGAAAAGGTAAGAACAAATTCTGAGAATATGGTATAGATACAAAAGAAGTATCATCTCATATAGATTATATTAGGAGTCTAACTTTTCATGAATGTCTAGTCTCTGCTGATGCTAATTCTGTTGTGATGATGCTGATGTCACCTTTGCTGGTGATATACACAGAAGTAGAGATGATTAAATGAATCATCAAAACATTCCTTAATGACTCCAGTAGGTGTTAAGGTTAATCCTCAAGTGGATTAGATCCTGATGTCGTTAGCAATATAGAGTAGTTTTATTTTCCCTTTGTTTATTCCTGTTACAACACTTAATATCACCCTTTTCATTTATAGCATCCCCAAGATATCCAATTATTTAAAATTGGATTTAGCATTAAAAGAGAATGTATATTTTATAAATCTATAAATCTTAATTTGCTTTGAGAAGCAGAGTAGGCTGGTCAAGCCATCTCTTCAACCTCTACCATTCACCATTTTAATTATGTATCATGGTTCAAAGTATCTAGACTCGTAGGCAAAAATTGTGTTATGTGTTTTTAAACACCGATACTTCATTTTTTTTTTTTGGTTTATTTTTTCAGTTAGTATTTCAAAGATAAAATGCTGGGCTAGGAGGGGGTCTTATGTTTTAAACTGTTTAAACATATAGAAACCGTTCTTAAAGGAACCCCCTAAATTCTTGTATATAGCGTTTCGGAGACCCTAAAAACCGATACGTATTGACACTTGGAACCATGTTATACATATAATTTCTATACCCAATCAACAGAATTTTAGACATCAGACGATGATGTGGTGGGGACTGGGGATTAGGACATTGGAATTGGAAGCATCAGTGTTAGGTTGTTGAATCTTGAATTGGTCGGTTTCCGAGCTGGGGATCGTCTCTGCTGTCAAATAATGAGTTAAAATTTGACACCTAAGGACTGTGGTGGATGTAGTTTGGATATCCGACAGATCTGACACACCTTGCCAGCTTCGGGTCCCCATGAAACCCTCAAAATTAATGCCCTTTAACTGCCTCAACTCCCAAATTCAATCTGCAGAGTGCAGAGCCCCGCAGACACCGCTTTTTTTTTTTTTTTTTTAAAGTAGAAACCATGGACAGCCTCCCCCACCTCAGGTCCTCAGAAGCCTCGAGTCTGCAATTTGGTCAAGTACCAACCACAAACATTTGACTTTCTAAACACTTTTCTTGTCCAGCTCTCGGCTCTCCATCAGCAATCTGCAATCTGGGGTGGCGTTTTTGTTAAAAGACAAAGATTAAAGATATGTTTATTGCAATTTCCTGTTAGCACCAAGTAGTTTTCTATTCATTAACAATATAATATCTATTCCATTTCGAGGCATTGAGCATCTTATCTCATGTGAATTGTGAAGCCATTTCCACCACTGTTAGCCCCCAACACGGCCCCCACAGATGCCCGCAGGGCAGTAGGCCACACCCACCCATCCATCCATCCAATAAAGACAAAAAAGAATAAAAAGAGCACCTAAGCTGACCTCAACTACTTTTTTAGGCATTAGCTTTAGGATGTTTCATTTTCTAGATTCTTGTTATGAGTTCAGCTCAGGGGCTGATTTGGGCGGAACTAGCTTCATCCGAAGCTTGAGATTCATCTATGATTAACTCGTGCAAACATGTATTCTCTCCGAAAATGACATGAGAACATATATCAGATGCCCAACATCAAGATATAAAGGTTAAGCAGTTGAGTTGCAACGAATCTCCTTTTTTAACAAGATTAAACCATAGTTGTAAAAAACTCGACCCCCCAGCAAATCAACCTACTAGGAGAATGAATATTTGATCATCTCTTAGGTGATCCAGCTTTTGAGTTGTATGGTCACAAGTGAGAAGGCTGAATATTTTATGTCGACTAAGCAGATAAAGATTGCAGAGAGAGAGAGATGTTGAGGCCAATTTGAAGCTCCTTAGGATTTAGGAACTGTTGGCTGAAGTGTCTGAACTGAATGACTTGTAGGGCCTTGAGATCTTTATGGTTAGCTGAATGGCATGTTTGGGTTGATTACGATGCCTTTGGGTATTTGTTAATATGACTATTTAATCCAATTAAAAGCAGGATTAAATTTTCATCACGTATCAGGGTGTATTGGGCATATTGGATTGTATGGCGCTGGCTCCGATACTTGAAATCTTAAATATTTTAAGACTTCATGTTTTTAGGACATAGACCTTGCCGAGGAGATTGGATTCAGCCCTCACAAAAGGGTGCTTATACAAGTACAGAGATATCCTTAATACAAGTACAGAGTATAGTGTGAACACCGTCTTGTGGACTGAATCCGAGTTCCTTGATAAGACCAACCAGCTGTAAAATTTTGGGAAAATACTTAGGTCCCATTTGGTTTGCAGGAATAGGGATCTGGAATCGGAATCGGAATGAGCTATTTCGATTCCAACTGTTTGGTGAAATTGGAATCTCATTTTTATTCTTGTGGGAATGATGTTTTTCCATTTGAGGGAATGGTCATTTCTTGCCCTTCCCTTGAAATCTCATTTCTGTTGATTTTAATTTTTATTTCCATTATTTTTAATCAAGAAGACTATAAGAATAGACCATTTTAATTTACATTCCGATTCTGATTATAAATCAAACGGATCCTTAATAAAAATCATGTGTTGATCAAACCCCTGATACGCCCATTCCAAAATACTGGAATGTACTAAATGACAAAATAACCAAGTCATTCAGTTCATCCATTAAGCCATCAATTAAATGGCCATGTGGCCCCAAGTAGAAACATTCAAAAGCTCTGGTGTCACAAGGGTATGGTAGTACCTTAATTTATTTAAGACGAATGATGATGGGTAGAAGGTTCCTTTGATCAAAACACATATTTAAATTGCTGAGACACAGTTTAATGGCAGAGCGTATTGAGCATTTTGAATAATGGATATATAATTTGTTTTCTTTAATTTTTCAGCCCAATAATTGACAGATAAGATTTTGAATAATGGATACATCTTAAAGCCTCAAATTCCTAGTATTTCAAAGTATTGATCACCTTATAATACAATGCAATACCTATTGATATTTTTAAACCTTGGTTGAAATCTTTATAGAAAGTTTTGCCTTGTATGGCCATTTAGGCACATTTGAAACCAAGGTTCAGTTTGGAAGGACTACAAATACTTGCAAAATAATATAAACGAAACTTTGAAATGTGCCAAACTTTAAAATGTGTCGGTGTAATACCCAAACTTTTGAAAGTATTAATTCAGTACCTGACATTAATAGTTCATCAATTAACTGATGGGCATGATGTCACATGTGATTTATAACATTTTGAAATCTCAAAAGTATCATTTTAAAGAAAATACTATTCATTGTCTTCTTCCTTGAAAGTAAAACTAAACCAGAGTAGATGAAAAGTAACTAAATGACAAGAAACCAGAAACAACTTCCTCCCAACATATATTATTGCATGCCTACACATGGCTGTTGAAATCTCTTAAAGCTCATCTATAACAGACCTCGAGTCCGAATCATATATAATTCCATGGTTTAGCTAGTTTAACAGTGGCTCTTCGTTATTGGGCTTACCCAGCTGGATCCGCCTAGGGAAGGTACTTGTGGAAGAAAGGAACCAGGTGAACTGGTTCAAGTTTTCTCAGCTCAGTTCCAGTTACTGTATGCTGGGATTTCTATCATACAGTTATACACTTGTACCAGCTTAAGCGTAACATCAAAAGATGAAAGTTGAAATCAGGTTAAGCATAAATTCTGGACCACCTTTGTCTTGGAATGGGTTTTTGTGAGGGGTAGATTCCAGCTTGTCCCTTAATTTTATTAGATATTATAATTGGAGGAAGAATTGGGTAACAAGATTAATTATTCTTTACCAATTGGTTATTATGAAATTAAAAGAAACAATAGATCCATTAATTTCTTTATTAGGTTGTGTCTGGAAACGATGCAAATAAGTTTGAATGTAAATATGTAGTGTAAAACGGTTCATATAAATTGTAAAGTTGGTTTAGTTTTGCATTGACAAATTTACCTTCTTACCAAATGGACTTTTATCTGCAATGGACGCAAACATGAGTTTCAATAAAGTATATGTTTTTTTTTATCAAAAGCCCACTTGAATGCAAATTTACTTCTTTTTTATTGATGTACTTTTACATCTTATTATCAATGTAAATATGCATTGGTCTGTCATTTATTAATGCATAAATGTAATGTTGCTAAATATAGGCAAAAATGAACCAGAGTGCAAATCAAATTAACCCTGAACCGAGATTTACACTCCATTTGCATCGTTTCCAAATGCAGCCTTAGGGAAAATGATCAAACAATTAGAATGCAAATAATCAATTTAAAGGGAAAGAGACACCCAGGATTTATGTTCAAGCAAGTTGCAGATTCATTGCAGTTGAAACAGGCTGTGACTTAACAAACTAGGGGCAGGACAGGAAGATTAAAGAAAAGGCCATTGTTCTCTTCAAGCAGTCGAATGACAAAAACCCATTCCAAGACAAAGGTGTTCCAGAATTTATGCTTAACAAGCTAGTACAAGTGCATAACTGTATGAGATAAACCCCAGCATACAGTAACTGGAACTGAGCTGAGAAAACTTGAACCAGTTCACCTGGTTGCTTTCTTCCACCAGTACCTTCAATAGTTTCCATCCTTAACAAATATTCACCGGCCTTTAGTTTCAAAACATGTCAATTGTGTCATTTTCACCAAAGGGCCTTGTAAAGAAAATTAGACGATGCTCAAAGGGCATTTGTATCATTTTACATGCCATTATCCGTTTTAAACTAAATTGACAGTTTTCCAAAATTTGGATACTGGTGATAGGCTTTGAAGTTTGGGTATTAACTTGACACTGCCCCAGAGTTTATTTTCAAACTACATGGTTTTGCACTCTACATATTTGTGTACGTGCTCCTTCCAAATTGAGCTCAATGTACAGACTCGAAGCTCCCTAGCGACGATGACGATTTAATGGTTGAGCTGTGTAACTCGTCAATATCTGAACAGAACTGTGACCCAGGAACTGGTGTCCCGGTCTTCCAGTGTTCTAGAATATATAAGTGTTGAAACTAAACACATTAGACAAGTGACCATAAAAATAAAAATATAGTAAACAAAATTTATGGTCAATATCCCACGGTCCAGAGAACTTGGCTCGACATTATAAAATGACCAGTACTATCTACAGTAGAAAAGGACAATAATATGAAAGCTTACGCAAGAAATGTAGCAAGGATTGCGAATTCTTCTACTTTGTACTCTCTAGTATTGAAGAGAGCTGGCAGCTGGCTCATAACTTCAAGAAAAGATTGGATTCTGAGCCTAGCTAGGTCTAGATCAGATAGTTCTCAACTCTACTAATAAGTTTTCTATTTGAAAGGGGAACAATGTACACTATGGTGTCTTGTGGGTAGGCTTCTCCTTAATTAGCACCTTCGTGCTCAAAAGTTTGACACAAATTAAGTATGAGTTCACTCATGCCATAACCCTTTCCTGGCTAGTATTAACGATTGAGGAGAAAAACATCACAAATATAAGAATTTTTTTCTTGGGGTATACTAATACAAATATAAGACATAAACATGAACCAAAAAGCAGAGGGACCTACCAACTTACTAAGCCATCAAACACTGCACTAATTTGGCTTTGATCTTGAAAGGATTACCTACGCAGGCTACAGGCTGTTTAGTGTTTATATACCTCCCCTCCAGAGAGTTTACATCTCCGCCCCACAGCACATTTTCATCGAGTATTGGGAATATCTCCCGATGATAATACCAGTCCCAATACACGACAGGGATGTATTGGGACTGTGGGGCGGAGATGTGATCTCCCCTCGAGAGTAACACTTGGACCAAACTAAGGGGCACTAAACCACCAGCCAACACGTTATCTTACTCATGCACAGTAGCTCCCTTGGATTTTGCGTTCATCCCGTCCTTTACATAAATCTACTTCCAGAGGAATACGTACGATTTCAGACATTCTCCAAAACCAGACTCTCCCACCTAATTGATTCCATCAAATTCAAATTCTTGACGGTCTTGGTAGTGTGGTGTTTTTCTGCTCTTAGTGTTTGAGAACAATCAGCAACACAATACCCATCTGATTATACAAAGTTTCTGCCATAAATTGAAGTCAATAGGACAGGATTTAGTCCAATCAGTCTAATGTGAGTCCATTATAAATGGCCCAGGTCTAATCCAATCTAATGAATGTTGAACTAATTTGGACCGATCCAATTTAATGTTTGAACCATCCAATCTCTTGAAATTCCTTTCGATTTAGATTGGTTTCAATCCAAACCCGGTCCATTGATATATATATATATTCTTATCTTATATCAGTGGACCATATATTGTCTTAATCCAACTCAATCCAATAAATATTTGTTACAGATGGACCAGGTTCAATCCAATCTAATAAATATTTTGGACCGGATTGATCCAATCCAATATGTCTTGCTGGTCCATCCAACCCGTCCAAATTAATTTTGGACTGGATGGGGGTCCAATCCGAAACCATTGATACCCTTAACTGTGATGAATGCATCTCCACTTCCGGACAGTTGATTGAAACAATTCTGTTGCTTGGAGTTAATAGATTTGAAATCCCAAAAGGGGGACTCTACTGTAAGGGGAGGAGGTGCTTACTGAGGCAAGACAACAGCCCACAAAGATGGTGGACGTTTGGATCGTTTTGCAAGCTTCAAGACTCTCTAGTGAATGGCTTGCGTTTGCACTTACATTCATCGCTACATAAGAAATTCTCATCTAACAGTTGAAAATCTTGTCTGCTTAGAGTTGTTTTAAGTTTTAACTTTGTTAGAAAATAAAAAATTAAAAACCCATTCAGGGACCTCATCTCAGCTCTTACGGTTTAAGCTTTTAGGTTGAATGGTTTTTTGAGACGATATCTTTTTCATCACTTCACTTGTCCACACTTCAAACCCAATGGGATTTCACCTGAAAGGGCTTATTAGAGAATAAAAACTTATTTTCACTTCATAGCTGCTTAAAATTTTAGATTGAAAAGTTATTCCTTGAGCAATACAGTATGTTCTGTATATGAAGTTTCGTGCACGTAAGACATCAAATAGAGAGCAGATCTGCTACCCATGAGATGATACAGCCACATCTCAAACATGTTTTGTACTTATATGTGGCCACGCATTTACATGTTCAAGGTATATATCTTACTTAATGTATGCTTAGGTCCGGGTTTGATGGTTATATTAATCCTACATTACAGATTCAATCCCTAAAATGCATCACCACTGTTTTAAATCATAAACGTGGTAGTCAATCAGGTGTTATTGATTAAAATTCATGCATGGGTACATTTTAACTGATCAAAATTCTTTCGATACTATATCCTTTTCGCATGATAGATGTTTCCAGAGTTATAATCGGCCAACTTTTTGACTTAAACTCACTCCGACTTTTGGTGCCTCGGAGACTCCTTGTCAGAAAGGTCGGGAGTTTCAAATGAAAACCCTAAAAGAAATGCATTATAAGAGTGATTTGGGAACCTTCCTTCTCTGATAAATGGGGTGCATTCGCATTTCATAGTTAAAAAGACAAAAGAATAAACCATTGTTATTTATTACAAAAAGTTAAAATATGGGGTATTTTGTTATTCATGTAATTTTTTAACTGATCTCGTTTCCCAAAAATTTATAGAAAATGGGAAAAAACTTTCAAAAATGGAAACAAAGTATATTTTCCAATCTATAAGAAAAACAAATTGATAACGAATGGTTGATACCAGCCAGCTGAGTGATCCCCATATTGACAAAGTTTTAACATAGAAGGATGATATAGTTTTAACTTTTAACTCTCTATACCTCTTCTAATTTACAAGACCAAAATTTTTTGTCTCAGTTTAGAAATAGTGCAATTTGCAAATATAAGGTTTAAAAATATAGCATGCAAGGTGATGTAGGGATACTTGGTGGGCCTCGGATCGCACCACGTGGCATCAATCAAATCAAATCCTGGCTATACATCACCAACTGCTTCCAACCACTCCAAGGCAAGGTCAAGTATAAAAGAGGGTGCACATCTCAAGGTAAAGACACTTGCAATGACATTCAAAATCCCAAGAGAATCATTCTTGCCTATTAAGGACTAAGCTTTGGGCCCTCGTTTCTAGCCTGGTCTGACCCCTTTTAAGCACTCGACTAACTTAACAGTCGGAGTCTCTACCCTTGGGATAACACCCAGGGCATCTGACATGTATTCTTCTCTTGTTTACAAGTCAAACCTATTGGCCTCGGACACCAGCGAAATCCCCTTGTTGCCCTCAGCCTCGTATTTGGCAGCAACACAAGGTTTTGCACTGTCTCCATCTGGGAAAAGTGCAAATACAAGGTTTAAAAATACTTTGTGCTGTACCTATTTATATTTGCATTCTTCCCAAACTGAGCCTCCGATGCACTTCTTGGATGGACTAAGACGAGAATTTAGAGCAATGCAACCACACCCAAAATATTATAAAATGATCTATTAGTATAACGGTGCAACCAAACATTTGCAACTTTCACACAAGGCCATCAATTATATATGTATGCGAATAAGTTGAATCAATTATATATGTACATCATTTCTATAATTGACAAATATAGGTGGCTATAAAATTTGAGAGCAGTTTTCCAATTTGCATTTCTTCCCTTATTGTCATTCAGCAATTTTGCAAATAATAATAATAATAATAATAAAGAACAATGGCATGCAGCATATCTAACATCACGTATTCATAGGTGTTAATTTGAACAACTGGAAAAGAAATTTTAAAAAGATCGATCAAGTTTAGAAATCCGGCAAATCAATTTGACAGCCGACCTATCTCCACTTTTGTCTTTGTTTTTGGAATTTGAGAAGTTATTATAATACAAATAAATCAAATTAAACTTGATGTGCTTTAGATTAATATAAATGCATTCCAGGACTAAGTAATAAACTTTTTATAAGAGTTTGGCTTCAAGGAAAAGAACTTTTTAATATAAAGCAGTTGGAAGTTTTCCAATCTATTTACAATATATCAACTTCTGAAATTTCAATTTCATTTGAAAGGGGTATAAATTATACCGGTTTTAATTAGAATTGAAGGAGAAAAATAGACAAACACCCACGTGTGGATGATTTCATCTTGTTTATCACACATTTTACAGATTTAAACCTCCCACCACCCTTGTTCATCCTATATGATTATATATCCCTCTCACTAAGAGCTGTTTGAATTTTTCTAGCTTCTGGGTGCTGAAAGGAGTTGTTTGATTGGTTCAATATTGAGAAGCAAATCTACGACTATCAATAAGGGTTTGAGAAGATTGTATCTATCACTAATTAGAAGGTTCCACACTTCATTCTATTTATCAAATTTTTTAACCACAAAAATCAAGTAGACAAGTACCATTCATTTCTTTTCTATCCAAATGATCAGTCATCCATTTATTACCAAAAAAAATGATCAGTCATCCATAATAAATTTATTCAAAAAGGATAGTAGGAGATCTCCTGGGTGTTTTAGCTAGAACTATTATATTTTGGAGACTTTCTGGGGCTTAATGGTGAAACAAAGAGATCTAAGATAAGTCACTTCAACTTCATTCATGGAATCCTAAATTCCCAACATGTTACAATATTTAAGACATTTGGTCCTCCAAAAACAAAGCACATATACTTCAAATTACAGACGTGTATGGATCTCAACATCTGGAATGATACAGTCCATTAAGAAATGAAGTAACAAACATCATCAAGCATATGAACTTGTGCAAAACTGCAAATGAGAGAGTTCGAAAGAGACGTTAATGACAAATAACCTAACTTCTGTGCTCAAGTGGAGTCCAATTTTTTGGAAGTACTGTCAATACTTTCCATTGCACAAGCACTAGTTCGCTCCTGCACCAGCAATTTTAAACCAGCCCAAACCAAATGTTATATATGCAGAGTCAGCCATCGATCCATCTTTAGGTAGATTTCCAACTAGAGAAGAAGTCTGAATCTCTTACATTATTTTTGTTATTCTCAGAAACTGATCCAGTCGGTGGATGTGGAACGTACCTGGCCCACTGTAATCTTCAAAATTAGCTAGGGAAGTTCAACAATGAATAGAAAACAGTCGGCCTCCCTCTAAGTCTAAGGGATCAAGGACTTACATTTTTGGCTGCTGTGCTAAAAGCTTCTCGATGTGGTATTTCAGGATTAGCAGCCTTGATGCGCTGAATCTCCTCCCTTCCATGGAAAGAAAAAGATATATAACAAATCAGTTCATATATATATATATATATATATATATTATATTATATTTTCTAAAATTAAGTTCATATATAAAAGATATGTTGTCTCTTCTTCTTTTTCTGCTTCTTCGGTCTTACTTCATGAATCGGTTGTAAGCAGATGGGAGTCTGTGTTTCCTCTCAGGCGCTGCCAAACAATCAAATTAACCACCATAAACCAAGAAGAAGTATCAAGATGAATTACACACATACACCCACAAACACAGATGTAATGGAACTCAATTAAAGCAGAGTGGCCGATCGAAAATGATCTATATACGTTTTACAACATATGGAACTTTTGGAGACATCTGTTGGCTAGACGTCGACGAGGAGGAGGAGGAGGATTGGGTCCTTCTGTAGTCGTTGCAGAAAACCTGTTTCTCCAGGAACTGGTCAACTTCAGTCTCTTTGGTGCAAATAATAGCTTTAACATTAGGGAGAAAATTAAGATTAGTTGCTTCGAGAATGACCTGAAATCCAAGCTGGTGATGATCCATACGTTGGCCTGGCAATGGAGGTCTAGTGCTTAGAAAAGAAAGGTTACTGCAGTGACCACATTTCACAGTAACAGTATCCAACAACCGTTTGCATGGAATTCCCACCTACACAAACAATACATATATAACACTAAGTGGGTTTTTCCCCAGAAAACATTCTTCCATGTTATTTCTTTTCTGTTAGGTTTGTAACACACGGAAGGATTGAAAACAGAAAGAATGCGTGTTGGAGTAAAAAAGAAGTCAAATCTCAGGTGGGTTCTCTACATTTCACTTTTTCTTCTTTTCTCTCCTTGTCTATACATACCACAAGAACATATGCACAGTTAGTATTTCCACGTAAATTACCGCTAGAACAGTGTTACAGAAGTTGCAGCGAACGTAGCAAAGATGCTCCGACGATGGAACATACTCCATGGGGATTTCTTGTTCGTCGCCGTCGTCTTCTTCTTCTTCTTCTTCAGGGAGAGTCGAGAAGGAGAGAATTTTGAAAAAGAAAAAAAAGGAGAAGAGGTAAGAAATGAGGAGGGGATAAGTTTGAAGTGGGACAGAGAAAATCTAGGTTCTCTGAACTCTGATAGAGAGCTATGTTTCAGAAGCGCCAAAAGAAAATCCGGCCCCGCTGAAAAACAGAGTTGCAGAGATGGAGATGGATTGGGCGGCCACAAGATACGCGACACACACGTTTGGACCTTGGAGAGAGATTCTCGCGATATTTTAAGGAAGATGTGAGTAAAAGAACTAGCCACGTGTACTAACTTACAGCTTCAAAGTTCAAACTTCAAGGCGGGAGACCTGGGAGCTATTTGTCTCTCGCCCCAGCGACAGTGTCTAGGAAAGCAACGTTAATGGCTTATGGCTTACGTGCTACGACCAAGTTCTGTTGCATTATTAAGGTAACGACACCATGGCTCGCCCACCCCAACCCGTTCTGGTTTGCTCTGCTCATTTAGGGTTCAACTGAATTAATTAGGGTTTAATGAATATAAAGATTGAACCAAATCCACCTCTTTTATGGGTGTTGATTTGGGCACATCTCAGTTTTTAAATCAACAGGGCACAGCCACACCATAATTGGTAACCAATTAAAGAAGTCWAATATGTGCATGTGCTTTTGAGTTTTGTCTTCTCAACCCATGGACTTTTTGGGTAGATCAGGGTGCACACATTTATCAAAAGGTGGATGTGCCCAAATCATTTTTCCTCTTTTATCTATGTGGGTTTAAAGCCTGAAGCCTGAGGGTTAGACTTAATTAGGACCAAAGTATGGTTAATTTATTAGTAGGATGCATGGTTTCAGTTCTTTCGGTTTCTTGGACACCACCAAAACAAAATAAACCAAAATTTTCATTCAAAAAACACCATCTAAATATTGTTAACTTTTTTTTTTGTAATTTATAAAATTATCTTAATAATTGTTAAAATCAGTAGTTAATTAAAACCGAAAATATGAAAAATTGGGAATTGGGTTATCTAAAAAAAATTGAAATTCTTAAAGCATTCCAACATTTTTGTTATATTTGCCTATTTGGACATAGCTTATCAAAACTGAAATATTCTAAAACTTTGGCAAATTTTAAAACCATTTTTTTGGTAAATGAAAAAATTTGAAACCATGAGGGCATGCTTTTTCACCCCTTTGTGATTCAGAAGTAAATAAAAAGTTAAGGGTGGACATGTCTGCCCCATGTGGACCTAAGAAATTAAAAAACAAAGTCAGTGAATTATGGCCATCTATCTTAATCAAATGCCTTGTACCCATATAAAGAGTTCAGATCTGCTGACCACATTCATCCAGTGTCACATTGAAAATAATTCTTGTACTTAATATAACTGATGTTCCCAATGTGCCATTGGATGAATGTGGCCAGTAACAGTAGACCTCTTCTTTGGTATGTAGTTCATTAATTGAACCTAAAAAGGCTAAAACAAWGCTACTCATGAGTCTCTATAAGGTCATAAACTCCTAATCCAACAAAAATCTTGTGCAAATTAAGGCATGGGCTCAGATTAATCAAATAAAGACACCCATGTAATGTAATGTTTCTTATTTCAAGCCTTGTATTAACCCACCAAGGAGGCAAGGGTCAAGGATGGTATCAGACATAAAAACCCATCAATAAGTTATGAATCATCACAACAGAAAAACGAGAAATTGGGGACCAAAGATATCAAGAAATTTTGAAGGCCTATGGGGTTGGGCTGAGAGAAGTCCATCTTGGGTACAATTACAAACAAAGAAACCTGAAAACGACGGGAGCTAAGATCACATGTCACCATCATAGTAAATTTAGGGGCCTCGGCTTGGAGAGTGGGGGGGTTGATGTGACGATTCCTTGATTGCCAAACATGGAACCAAGCTCTCTTTTCTCTTGCTCTCTTCAACTTTCTTTCTTCATATAATCGACTTTCCCAAGGCCTCTGCCCTTTTGTATTCTTTTCTCCATTTCATCTACGCCTTTGTCTTCACTAGATTCCATGTCTTCCTCGAACCAGAACCCCCTCTCTCTCTCGTTACTCCGATGATCTGATCATTAACGGATTTGGGTATAATCAGTATGCATGGGGAGACCCTTTTCTTTATCCATATCTAGAAATCTTTGATTTGACATCCCACGGTTGGATTGCTTCTTTTGTCCTTTTAACAGTTTCATCTTCCCCGACTCCCCCACCCACAGAGATCGATCACAATTCACAAACCTCCTTTGCTTCACTCATCTACGTGTTTACTGTGGGAGCAGCTGCTTTATATTATAACATCACGCGGGAGCTGTCACGCCGAGCAAACCGTGTGAGCCCTACAGTACAGCACTGTTGTTCATCATTCATTGCTTGAAAACTTTAAGCTAATTAAGAGACCACCAAATTAATTAAATTCTTTATAAGTCTCAAGCTCTGAGTGCCATTGAACGATGAACACCCATAAGCTCACATCATTTATATGGGTTTTGTAGGGTTGGAACTTCATTTAGTGAAGGTTTGAATTTGATAGAATGTGTTGGCTGGATTGTGTTTGTATTGGAATCCTTGTCTCTCTGTTTATGCAAACTATATATTGTTCTGGAAGTGAAACCTCAATGCATGCATGTATACTACTCTCTCTCTCTCTCTCCATCCTTACTAAAGGACAAATTAAAAGGTACTCCTGTTAAAAGCTTGTGTGTGTGTGTGTGGTGGGGAGGGGGGGTGGGGAGCAATCTTGTTTTCTCAAAAAACCACTTCTGAGTTCTGACCTGTTCAACAGGGGTATTCCCTGCTTATCAAAAATGGGTCTGCCCTAATCACCACTACTCTGCTTTTGTAGTTGGGGTCTGGTGATCACAGTATATTCTTTCTAGTCTTTGAAACCAAAGGATCTAGTTAGCTTTCACTGTAACAGAAATAGACTCTTGAGAAAGCATGCAAGCATAAAGGAGGAACAATGGAGGCAACTATATGTATTATTAAGGTATAGGATTTGATGATTGAACATCAACATATACATATATATATATTGATCATTCTCATGAGAGGTACAGGTCGCGTCAACTATATATGAAAAGAGCTTCACTTGCAGCATCTTCAGTATGCAGACCTTATGGATGATGTAGCAAGACTTAGACTGTCAATCATGGAAGGTGATTGGTTACATGTTCCCATCAGGATAATGGCCGCTGGCCGGCCGGGTCAATAATTCATGGCCAAGCAAAGCATCTTCTCTTTCTTTTGTTCTACAAAGTTTGGTCATTGGTCAAGCAGATTGTCTTTGATTTATATTCACCAACCATTGGATAAGTTCAGCTCTCTAGCAATATATAGGTGTTCTAGTAAGATATATTAGCATTTCATCAGTATATATCCTGCCGACAGGTTGCTTGTTTTTGCCATGGATTCATCCAAAGAAAGTAGCTAGACTATAGAAACAGTAGTTCTTTCACATTCACATGTATGTCTGAATTGCTTCACAACTTCTTCCTGCCTCTCTCATTTCTTATCATTATGGAGAAAAGATTTGGACCCACTTCCTTTCATTGCATTGAATTATCACTGAAATATCAATGCTAGTACATGTACAACTATGTCGCTTGTGTCGTTTGAAGAAGAAACCAAATGCCTCTAGAATCTGACTCCCATGGGTGAATACCTGCCAAAACCCAGTAAGTAACATGTGAAAAAAAAAATTTACTGATTCCCTTAACTCTGTCATGCATCTATATATCCAAAGTAAGTTTGTTTGTAGTCTAGTGACAGTAACTGTTTGACAATTAATATTAATTTTTCCCCATCCTAATGCATGACTCAATCTTCTGAAAACTAACCAAAACAGTAACTCCAAGTGATGAGCTTGGTCAAATAACTAAGATGAACCATTGCTAAACCAATTTCTTCTCTCATTTAGACCATCCAGTGTGATGTTTCACCCAGTTTTAACTAAATTTGATAGCTAAAAACTGCATTTTGGCTTCATTTGTTTCTTTGTAAATCTTTTCAGCATTAAATATATTTCAGCTAGTATTTCTACCTTTTTGTAGCCAGAACTTTGCTTTCCATCCATTCTAATTTTTTTGATGTAAATGGCAAGGAAGACAACGTTTTCATCATAAAAGGGAAAATGATATAGCTTATATATTTCGGCCTAAAAAAAATTTCTGTCTATTTTGATATGGAAACTTATGCATCCATAAAGGGAAAAAAATCACTTTGAGCAATTAATAACAAATCCACAACTCCCATTTTCTAAGAAAATTCTCATATAGGGATGATATATGCATATTGTTGCAAGGAAGACAATTATGGGGCCCTAGCTTATCTCTCAAAGAACCATTCGACCTAAAAGCTTAAGCTGTTAGGTGAGGTCTTTGAATAGGTTGATATTCTCTAACACGCCCCCTCACATGAAAGCCTATTGGGCTTGAAGTGTGAACATGCACAGACCCACCCGTACTTTGTTATGAAACTTATTTAATTATAATGGGGGCAACGAGGATCGAAAACTAAACCACTTGTTCAAAATGACTCTAATACCATCTCAAAGAACCATTCAACCTAAAAGCTTAATCTGTTAGGTGATGTCCTTGAATAGGTTGATATTCTCTAAAATTCTCAATGGCTTATCTTTATTTGAACATGCCTTGTGCATTCATATGAGACCAATTAATCAGATCGGTGGTCAGGCCGATTTGAATAACTGGGGGGCTCTTTGATTTGGTCTGAGACATATGGTGGCACGAGCCTAGGCTGCACATATGAGTCTCATCACATATTTTGCAAGGTTAGGGATTATATGAAGGCTGTTTGTGTCTTTTTACATGGAATAATTTGGTAATTATACCACCTTAATGTGTATGCTCAATAATATAATGAGAGCATGTCTTTGATTCTGTTGGCAAGAGTAAGCTTAATTAGCATTCATCAAAGGAAAATCTTAAGACTGAGTTAAGTTGGAATGCAAATCTTGACCAAGTGCAAAATTTGTACCTAGCTAGATCAGTTTTGC